AAGTGGGATCACTGGGATCACAGTTCCATGTTTAATTTTTTGAGGAAACTCCATACTGTGTTCCATCATGGCTGCACCAGCCTGCATCCCCCCAGCAGAGTAGGAGGGTTCCCTTTGCTCCACATACTCACCACTTGTCATTTGTTGATTTGTTGGTGGCAGCCATTCTTACCTGTGTGATCTGATACCTCATTGTCCTTTTAATTAGCATCTCTCTGATGGTCAGTGACTTTGAGCTTTTTTCCTATGTCTCTTGGCCATCTGTATGTTCCCTTTGGAGAAGTGTGTATTTAGGTTCTTTGCCCATTTTTAAAAAAATATATTTTATTGATTTTTTACAGAGAGGAAGGGAGAGAGAGAGAGTTAGAAACATCTATGAGAGAGAAGCATCGATCAGCTGCCTCCTGCACACCTCCTACTAGGGATGTGCCTGCAGCCAAGGTACATGCCCTTGACCGGAATTGAACCCGGGACCTCCCCGAGTCCGCAGGCCGATGCTCTATCTACTGAGCCAAACTGGTCAGGGCTAAGTTTTAATTTTAGTTGCAATTCTTCTTGAACTAGATAAAGCAAAAAATGTCAGCTGCATTGTCACAATATAAATTGCTCAAATAAAAATGTATTATTGTTTTTCAAATATTAAGTAATAATTGGGCACCAGGTTTCTGAGTGATCTATCATGGGGATATTTTAAAAATTTGAATAAAAATTCTATGTATGTATTTTCTGTGAGATATATATTATTTATATGTTCATTTATTACATTTTTTCCCCAGCCATCAAACACAGACAACCTGTTGGGATCATCCTAAAATGACCGAACTCTTTCAATCCCTTGGTGAGTATTGTTTTATTTAATAGTAATGAATTAACTTAAACTGAAAAGGGTATATTCTTGGATGAAAACTGATCACCAGCTTTTTTTAGATGGCATGTTATGTTTAAAGCACCATGACAGTGACATACAAAAGCAGTTGAATTTCTGAGGTCAATGAAGCAAACAGGTCTGACCTTTCTTCTTAAGAGAATGTGAAGTTTGAAATGGCATGGCCCCCAAACCATGACTTTAAAAGGGGAATATTATAGGAGGTTTTTACCTCCCTCATACTGGGCCATCTTAATCTTCAATTTTGAGTGAAAACAAAAACAGTTACAATACAGCAACCTCTAGTCCACTGCTTTTAAATCTGCCTTTAGCTCGCTCTTTTTTAAATAGATCTTATTAAATCAGCTAGCTGAATTTTATTTCTTCTAAGTACAGCTGAAGAGCTAAATTCATTTTCAATTAAAAAATGCAAGAAAACTCATAAGATGACAATTCTTTCTTATAGATTTCTAGTAGGATATGACTTTATTGTGTGTGTGTGTGTGTGTGTGTGTGTGTGTGTGTGTGTGTGTCTCATTTTGAAAGAGTTTTCTCTTTAATGAGCAAAGGTGCTGCTGCAGAGGGAGGGCTAGCACCCCAAGGCTCTCATGCCACTCCCATTTCAACAAGTGGGGAGCACACCTTTAATGTCTTTAAATATCAGGCTCATGTGTGAACTTCCAGTTGTGTGGGTGAGGGATGCTTCAAAGTTGAACAAATGAGAAAAGTCACTGGTTTGTTTGGTGAGCAAAGGAGAGGGCAAATTTTGATGATTTCTGAGTTTCCTTCTAACTCCACTAGTCTCAAATACTGGTACTCTGTCTTTAGGGGACAGAGAAAGAAATTGCAATATTTGCTCTTTCCAAAGGTTGGAATAGTGACTGTAAGATCATTTGGACAAGATCTATGAAAGGGCGGCAGCAGCACATAGATCAGAATGGAGGAATGTAGAAATATAACTAGCTCTCTGAGTAGTGAGATGACAGAAAACTGACTGTCCTTGTGGAACACGGCCCTGGAGGAGGGTCCCGCCTAGCTGTACAGAAGAAAGGCTCTCTACCCACAATGCCATGTATTTATGAAGCCATTGAAAGGTCACAGACCAAGCGTGTTTCCTTTTCCTCATTTCCTTCCTTTTCCTTTCCTGGGAGTTTCTGTGGAGCACTGCTTTGGAATATATCTCACCACGGTGCCAATGAACATTTAATTTTTTCCTTAAATAAATGCTGTGGATTTTAGGAGAAGACTTTTTACACATCTGAAGTAAACAGATACCTTCTTGCCATTGGATATAAGTTAAGCAATCAGCATGTTTTTGAATGTGTTCCCTTTCCCATTACAGCTGACCTGAATAATGTGCGTTTCTCTGCCTACCGCACGGCTATCAAAATCCGAAGACTACAGAAAGCACTGTGCTGTGAGTCATCCTACTGAAGTTAATTACTCTGTTCTTTGAGTTGCCTTTTTTTTTAAGACAAAGATAAATGAAGAAGGGGATGTGTTTGTAGAGTTAATCTGATTTTCAGTGTGCGTCACTCAAGGAGTTGGCTGTGATTCTATAATGCTCTGTTATTTGCCACGTCAGCATGCATGCAGTCATAAAACAAATGAACATATGCTATTCCCAGTGGGAGGACAAAATTAACCAAAATACAGCAGTAACATAAAAATATTTTTCTAAAAAGGATGCTGCCACCCAATTTGAAAGGATTAAAACAAGAAATCAAAATGCACATATAGTAGATCATTGCCTTTTTAGTACTTCGTATCTGTTTGGAAGTGTAGGGTCTGAACCAGTTTCATTCATTACAATCATACAATAAACGCTAAAAAAATCGCATTTCTGATCCAAATTTGAACTGTCACTTTAGAAAATTACATAAAAGGCTCTGTGTTCATTTAAATATGTCTTGAGACATTTAGTATTATCAATATGAACTTTACCTTTCTGTGGTAATATTTTACTGAAGGGCTATTCCCCCCAAATAACTGAAGTTTAAGTAGAAATATGCATTATAATGCTTTTATAGAGTATAGATTTAAGCTGTCCGGATTCAATTTGTGGTTATAGTTTAAATGATTGAGTGTATTCAAAGACCATTTAGGTCTTATCAGCTAGTTAATGTGGAAAGTGGCATTTGCCCATACTTTTAAGAGGGTAATTTAAATAAATCCAAGGATTCTTGTTTGCTGCCTTTTGCTCACAGTTGTTATATGTCTAGGCAGTTCAGTGAAGCTTTGAAAATAACGCTTAGAAAAATGATATGTTAAGGTTAAAAATCTGCTCCTTAAAAGACAGGAGAAATTCAAAATGCATTTTAAGCTGATTACATGAAAGGAGTTGAGGAAAGACTGTAAAATTATTGAGAGAAAATACAGCAATGCAAACCTTTAAAGTAAGAAAAGTGTAAGCTATGTGTGGGTGAGAAGTCGACGAAGGGCTGAAAAACATCCCTAAATTAGGCGGTAGAGGAAAGGATGAGATGGCTGTCCTGCACATCACATCATCCCGGGAGCCCCACATAACTGGCAGGCTGTGGTGATGGCAGCAAGGGTTGCAAAATTACCAATCAAAAAAAAAATAGCCAGCACTCTGGCCAGGGGTCTGTATGCTGAGCCAGAAGAAAGCTGGAAGTGAATTAGGAACATGCAACAAGGATGTTCTGAGCTCAGTGAGTCCGTGGTGGCAGCAGTTTTGGAAGAGGCTCAGCTGCATGTCCAGCCTCCAGCTGACAGACCTGGGAGGTCTTTCAGGCCTGATGAGCTATAAAATGAGGACAAATGACTCAGCCTCCGAGTCCCCACTGACACAAGACTGCCTTGTGCATGTTCATTATGAACACGGCCCCATTTTCACTAATCCTTCTGGGTGGGTAGACATTCATGCATTTGGTGTTTCTTTCTGGTGGGTTTTTTATTTTCCTCCCAAAGAAAAATGTTCCCCATTTCACCTCATTTCTTCAAACCTGAGAGGATCAGAAGAGTGATGCCTCCCACTTATACACAGAACCGTGGCATTTAGGAACACCTGGAAAAGTGCTGGCTTGTAAATACTAGGATTTGAGGTGCTGTTCTGAGAGCCACCTGGCTGCTACCTCCCTGACTGTGCCCACTGCTCTCTCGCCTGGGGCCTTTGCTCCATTGTCAAACTCACCTGTTCATGATTAATCTGCCCCTTCCTCTCCCATCCTTTCTGTCTGCTTGCAATTCCCTGACCCTCCTCAGTAATGGTCTGTAACCCTTGATGCCTTCCAAATGCTGTTAAAAATTTACTCCTTTTGGAAACATTTACCAGCTAATTCCACCTGCCGCCCATTTTTCCAACACTGTACGATGGCCTCTAACGGCTGTGTCTCACATAAGTGCCCTGTGTGTGCCTCTGTGTGGCAGATAATGTCAAGATGGTTGCCTGGGCTTCACTGAGAACGGCTTTAGGTCAGGGGTTGCCTTTCATTTTATGTAAATCTCCACTCACCATGATGTCCTAATGTAGAGGGCTCATTGTCGTCTCTGTCATTGTTCATTCATTTATTGGGCTCCAAGACTGTGCAGGAGATAAAGAGACTTGGTTCCCACACTCAAGGAACTTAAACTTGGAGAGAGCACGTTATACATGCACACAACTCTCCTACTTACAACAGATTCCTGCTTCCCTCAAATGAAATGGCCTTTGTCTTGGCTTATCTCCATCTACCCCATCCTCTATGCTCCACTATGGGCTCTTCTCAGTTCTAATGGACAGATGAAATGGTCAGCTCTGGATTCCGTTTCTCGAGCTGAAGAGTTCTTGTCTTGGCTCTTTGCACTTATCCTCCTCCCCTGGCTGGTGTGATCTCTTCCTACAGGTCCTACTTTAACTGTCTCCTAGATTTAGTGAGGCTTTTGGGGTAGACCACCCCTGATATTTCAGCTCATGGATTCAGTTCTTATGTGGCGCCTGCCATAATGTATGGTATTGTGTTTATTAACCACCTGTCTCTCCAAAGGAACTAAGCTTTCATGTGAGGGAGGAATCTCTTTTCTTCTCCACTTCGGGGCCACATACAGCTTCTAGCACAGAGCAGTCTGCTAGGACATACTGAGTAAATGATTTGAGTTGGAAAGTTATAGGAGTACACAAGAATGTAGGTATAAGAAGATTTATAGCTGCACTTTTGTATAGTAAAATGTGTTTAATTTTGGCATATAGATACAAGTGATATGATACAGCAGCAAACATAAATAAAACTTTTCTGATATTTTTAGGTCCTTTTTTTGGGGGGGAGGGGTGTTCCTCAAGCTTTCCTAATGTTGTATTTAATGTTTGGATTTGTGTGTGTGTGCATGGAGCAGAGTGCTATAGAAGCATTTTTTGTTTTGTGGAATTTAGCAGAGAGGGCCAGTCGTGGCTGTATGCAGACAGTATCAAAGGCAGATCAAAGGACAGAGGGGACAGAGGACAAGAAAATAGTGCAGGTGGAGGCTGAGCTGGCTGCTGGTAGTAGGCAGAGAGATGAGGGTATGGATTTGTGATGCGGAGAAAGGACTGATGACTGGGGGAAACTGGTGGCTGATAAATCGCAGAGGGTAAAAGAAGGAGAGTGTTAGGATGGCTCAGGATTTGCAGACTGATGGTCAATGGAAGGTAGTCATACTGTTCCTGGATTTCAGCATAACAAGAAGGCAAGACCTTTATTTGGAACATGTTAAGGTGAAGGTTCCTGAAAGAGAAGAGTATCGCTCTAGTTGGGAAAAGAGCAGTGGGACTGCAAATCAGGTGTTCAGGCAAGAAAAAACAATCTGGAGTCACCCAGAGAGAAAAATAATTGAAGTGATGAAATTGAGTGAGGCTTTATAGATAGGAGACCTTGAGCATCACCTGTATGTCTTTGGTGTCTGGGGAAGAGGAGATGGGGAAGGTGCTAATCAAAAATGGCCAAACAGTTCGAGAACAGGAGGAGTCACCGAAGCCCCAGGTCAGGTACTGTCTACAATGAGTGTTTTTACAGAGGAGAATGATGACCCATTTTCATTTGATCGCCTGTGCCTCATACGTAGGATTAAAGAAAAAAGCTGGGTAGAAAATGATTCTGCTGTTTGTTTCATTTGCCACATGACTGAGCTGTCATTTCTCTTCCTTTGAAAAGAAAAGATCATAATTTTCTGTGATTTTAATGTAGTCAATTTTTAAAGGTACCTAAATGTGACACACGTCAGGAAAATGTGTGCCTCGTGTAGGCACTAAGACAGGGTGTCAGAGTAAATCACTAAAAATTGAAGACATCATAGTCTGTGGGATGTGGCAAATTACTGTCATATTTACCACGTGTATTACAAAGGAGACTTCTCTGGATGAAATGTAAGGACAGCCTCATCCAGGGAAGGGTCTTTTTGGAATTTGGTCTATTGTCACTTTATGCCATGTGGGGTGGGGATAAAGTAGCAGTGCTGTGTTGCTGGCACATTAGTGCTGAAATTCAGAAACTTTGAGCATTTTGGCAGTATTTCAATATGTTTCTTTGTATCTATGTGTAATTGTAGTTCTGTAGCTCCTACTATCATTACTAATCCCTTCCTTTTATCACACACCATGAAAAGTGAACTTGACTTTTGCTCCTGCCCTCCTGGAGTTTATCATTGAAAACAGTGTATAAAACCAAGAAAATGCTACAATGATAATTTTGGATGGTTCTCAGTTTGTGTGTGTGTGTGTGTGGGTGTGTGTTAATATATTTTTGTTGATTTAAAAGAGTAAGGGAAAGGGAGAGAGAGAGAAACATCAATGATAAGAGAATCATTGATCAGCTACCTCCTGCAGGCCTCCCACTGGGGACGGAGCCTGCAACCTACGCATGTGCCTGAACAGGAGTTGAAATGTGACCTCCTGGCTCATAGGTTGACACTCAAACACTGAGCCATGCTGGTTGATTTTTTTCTTTTTTTTTTTTTCACCATCTCTAACTCATGGGGACCTTACACAATTATTTTATATATATGTATGCTGAAATTTTGCCAATAATATATTCGGCATTCAAAGGAAATGGATTAACTTGTTATCCTCAGTTGTATTTTATATTTTTTTCTCTTTTTAAAAAATGAGCTGTTTTTAGAAATAATTTTACTTTAATTCTTGTTGTGTTGTTTTAGAAATAATTTTAATCTGTATAATTTTAAAGCAGTTTTTCTCCATTGTAGATAACTTGAAAAAATAAATCATTCCGTGGTGTTTAAGCAGCTAGAGCAGGGGTGGGCAAACTTTTTGACTCGAGAGCCACAATGGGTTCTTAAACTGGTCCGGGGGGTGGGGGGTGGGGGCGCGCTGGAACAAAAGCATGGGTGGAGTGTTTGTGTGAACTAATATAAATTCAAAGTAAACATCATTACATAAAAGGGTACGGTCTCTTTTTTCAATAGTTTTATTCATTTCAAACGGGCCGGATTCGGCCCGCAGGCCGTAGTTTGCCCATGGCTGAGCTAGAGTAAACACATTTTATTCATGTCTTTAAAAATTCAAAATTAGTGTGAGCTGTGCCTCCCTCAAAACTTGTTACATTGGCCCATTACCCATGTGATGTGAAAAAAAATAGGTTAAATATAAAGGAAGCTGTTCATTTCATTAACTGTTCAAAATATCATTATATGTTTTGAGGGGACATTTTTGCATCTGGCAAAGATGAATTAGTTGGTTATTTTATTTTTAAAAGTTCCCCTGAGCTTATTTCTTTTCATCTTAAAAGTTAAAAATATGGAGATATTTGTAAAGCAGTAAGTTCCATGAGCAGACCTTAAATTCTGTAATTTTCTAAACCCATTTGTTTAGAATTAGAAGAATCATCTCCACACTTAATAAATATATAAATTACATTGTGGTTTGATAATCTATGTTTCCCTATTTTCAGTTAGTTAATGAATGACTCAACATTGATTTAAAAGAAAGATTAGAACAGACTGATGAATCTCAGAGGGAAGACAGGTGGGTGGATGGGGGTGAGCAGATTAACCAAAGGACTTGTATGCATATATGCTTAACCCATGGACACAGACAATAGTATGGTGAAGGTTTGAGCCAGAGGGCAGGTTTGGGCTAGAAGGGGACATCTGTAAAAAAATAAAATAAAGATTATTTAAGATTTTTTCTTTTTTGTCTAAAATCCTGTCTTTTGAGGGCCTCCCCTTGGGCAATGTGTGCCAGGTCCCTAGAACTCCGTGTGTCTGCCTGATGGTAACCACATACCACTCATACGTAAGCCCCACACCATTCATCCACACTGCTGTTGGTCATTCTGGAGAGCCCCTTGGAATTCTGTGAATTCTTGTCTTTCCTCAAGCAGTTCTATCCTCCTGGATTTCTTTCCTTGTTTTACATGGATCTCTTCTATCTACTCTTTTCTTTTTTTAATCCTCACTCAAGGATATATTAATCCATCTTAGAGAGAGGGGAAAAGAAGGAGAAAGGGAGGGGAGAGAGAGAGAGGAGAGAGAGAGAAACATCCATGTGAGAGAGAAACATCCATCACTTGCCTCCTAAACTCACCCGATTGGGGTTCTAAATGCAACCTTGGTATGTTCCTTGACCTGGAATCAAATCCACAACCTTTTGGTGTATGGACAATGCTCCAACCAACTGAACCACTCAGCCAGAGCTATCTTCTCTATTTTTTAAGGCCCATTTCATACCCACTTTCCCAAGGGGCCTTTTCCAGTTGTCCTTCCACTCCCTGAGCAGGAGTAGCTCTCATAGAAATTGATGTATTCTTCTCTTGGGCTACTTTCACTCCTCCTTTTAGTCAAGTTATCAGTCTGCTTGTCCTCCTTCTCAGACTGAGAGCAGGGGCTCCGCCTTATCCTCTTTGCCACTGTCTGTGCTCTAGCAACTGTCATGCCCACTAAAGATGTTTTATACATGAAGAGTAAGGATGGGAGCCTTTACTGTGAACCTCCACTAATCCTTACTGGCTACAAGTTGCCTGTATGTCAAAGCCTCATGGGAAGCAAACAAAGTTAGGACCAGGTTGTGAGGACCCTATAGATTAGGCTTCATTCAGAAGGCAGTGGAAGACTATTAGTTTTCTACAGCACATGTTTGTTTAATTTTTTATTGAGGTGGCATGCATATAACATTATATAAGTTTCAGGTATACAGCATTATAATTTGATATCTGTATACACTATAGTATGTTAACCACCAAAGTCTATTTACCATCTATCAACATATATTTGACATCCTTTACCCCTATTACCCTACCCCACTCCCCTTTCCCTCTTGTGACCACCAATCTGTTGTCTGCATCTATGCCTTTGTTTTTGTTTTGTTTGTTCATCTGTTTCTTTTTTGTTGTATATTTTGTGTATGAGTGAAATCATATGGTTTTCACTCATCTTTTTCCTTTTAACTTACTTCACTTAGCATAATAATCTCATGATTCATTTTTGTCAAAATGGCAATATTTGATCTTTTTTACGGTTGAGTAGTATTTCATTTTATATGTGTATATAAACCAGATCTTCTTTATTCATTCTTCTGTTGGTTGTCACAGAGGTTGTTTCAATATCTTGACCTAAGTGAATAATTCTGTAATAAACACAGGGGTACATATATCTTTTGGATTAGGGTCCAGTTCTATTCTTAATATTGTGAGGAATGTTCATGCTGTTATGCATAGTGCAAAGCTTGTTTGTCTTTTCTTTTTTTTTAACTGACCCTTCTTAGTCAACTTTGTACCTTATTATGTACATGTTGAGAAATTGTTTAAAACTTAGTTTGACAGTGGCATAAAGGATGAAATGGGAGGGTAGTAAGTAGGCTGTTCTCTGAAATTAAGAGAAGGAAAGCAATGTAACTTGTGGGCTTCCTACAATTTGGAGTAGATTTCGAGATTTAAGCCTTTCTATATTTAAGAGTAGAAAGAGGTTGGAGGGAAAATAGCCAGAAAAAGAAAGCAGGAAGAATTGATATTGTAAAGAGTGAAAAATGGGATCATATTTAAAAGTGACAGCTCAGATTCAAAATAATGCAAATGGAGATAAAAGAAGTAGTTAAAAATGTAAGGATGGAAATGCTACTTATTACTTTAAAAACTGAAAATAGCTAAAACGGATAGATTCTTAAATAACAAGACAAATACTTAAGACTAGAAATGTTTTTGTTCCAGTGTTGTTATATAATGTAATGACTGTACATACTCCTTTCTCTCACCCGATTAGTGGATCTCTTAGAGTTGAATACAACAAATGAAGTTTTCAAACAGCACAAGCTGAACCAAAATGACCAGCTCCTTTGTGTTCCCGATGTCATCAACTGCCTGACAACAACTTACGACGGCCTTGAACAGCTGCATAAAGATCTGGTCAATGTTCCGCTCTGTGTGGATATGTGTCTCAACTGGTTGCTCAATGTATATGACACGTAAGTTTTTATTTTTTCCCATTAAAGTACAATTCTTGAATGACATACGTTAATAATACAAAATACATTTTTAAAGTGAAAATCTTAAAAGTGCTTTCAAAGTACTTTATCCAGTGGAAATATTTATGTTAATTGTTGCAAATGAATGACTTTCCAAAACTTGAGCCATAAACCAACAATAAAACAAAAAGGAATGTCCATCCATTATTTTAAGATTTTGCTTTAATTACAAAAGCTGTCAGATTTGTAGGGTCTTCTGTTTTTTGTTTTGTCATCATGCTAGAGGAAACCTAATTTAAGTAAGTTCAGTTTCCTTCTCCTTCTGGAATTTCTTATAGTATCTTTTAAAGACAATATTTTGTAGTTATTTTTATGAATTAAAATAATTTACTCCCTCATAATAATCTGTGATTTTTGTGTGACAACTTAAGAGCAATCAAATGGCAATTAAAATCATTTTACATCTCTTTTGGTATTAGCTTCACTTATTGCAAAGGTGGTTATGTATGTATATGGTCTTTTAAGTAAGTTATGCTGCAGGGCACTAATATCTGTAATTTCATTAGGTACTCATTGTTACATAAAGAGCACTCTCAACTCCCAGAATAACTCAATTAACTTGAGTTTTTGAATGTGACAGTGCATTTGTAAAATAATTCTAGAAAGGCCTGCTGTGTGCTGACATTTCTGAACTATTAGGAGGAATTATTCATTCTTCTGGTAGGGGGTTAAAATATGCGAAGATGAAATAAGAAAATGAGGACTCTTGTTTTTCTCTCACACCCTGAAAGTTCTCTTTCCATTAATTAGCTGTATGAAGATTTGTGTTTATCAGCCTTTCATTAGGTTTAGAGAAAAAGAAGATGGATGATAGTTCATAAGTATACACACTTAACAGCTGATTCTGTATAAATAAGTGATGATGAAAGTAGCTCTAGAGATGATTTAATTAAACTTTGCTTATACTTTGGAGTAGAAAAATCTTTTCTTTTTCAATATTCACAAATATCATAAAGTTTTTTAAATAACCCAATAGCCTTTGTGTGCTTGAGTGTTCTTAAGAAATTCCTTGAGAAGCAATAGCATGAATCTCAATTACCATAATGAATTTAGGATTTATTATATCCTTGTCTGATATATTTTAATACATTTTATTTTAATGCAACTCTATCCTGCTATGGTAAAATAAAACTGTTAGCAATTATGATCTATTAAGTTGATTTCCAATTTTTTAAACCTCCAAAAGAGACATTTTCTATAGTAAATTCACCAAAATAGCTGGCCAATTAGGTGTTTTAACTACAAAGCCTATAAGTTAATTTTACATCCCAGGAAGAAGGCTAAATTCATAACATATTTAGGAACTTCATTAAGCCCTGTGGAGTATGGCAGAGGTGCACATCTTGAGCCATATTTAAAGAATTAACACCCTCGACAATGACTGTGGCTCTAACACACTGTATTAGTTTGCTCCGGCTGCCATAACAAAGTACCACAGCGTAGATTAAACAACGGAAATTTATTTTCCCACAGTTCTGGAGACTAGAGTATAAGAACAACATGTCAGCAGGGTTGGTTTCTTCTGCGGCCTCTCTCCTTGTCTTATAGGTGGATGTCTTCTCCCTGCGTCTTCACATGGTCTTTCTTCTGTGTGTGTCTGTGTCCTAACCTCCTGTTCTTATAAGGACACAAAATTACATTATGGTCCAACCTAATAGCCTCATTCTAACGTAATTACCTCTTTAGAGATCCTATCCCCTAATACAGTTACATTCTGAGGTACTGGGAATTAGGACTTCAACGTATGGATTTTAGGGAGATATAATTCAGCCTATGACACAGATACATGCTGTTTACACTGAACAGCCCAAAGGGAATACTGTCACTTAGTTGGGAAGGAAGCAGTGTGTGAAATGTCATATTCTAGGAAGTTATCTGTTTGTATATTTCTGTTTCCCACCATCAAATGTGAACACATGAGAACTGCTCTACTAAGATACTGTTTCTTATTTAGAAAGACAGTATCTTGAAATTTTCCATTAAAAGGGGGAAAAAAGCTTTTAAGATATATCTCCTTGTCATGTCAAAGAAATATAGCAAAGACCACAGTGGGTCAGAATGATGTGTAGTCTGTTTAGTTTTTCTATCTTGGAGAAATATCATGAATTAACCTTGGGGAAAAAAACATGGTCTCTTATATGACAATAGTGTCAGATGGCCAGAGTTGATTGCCCAAATCTCTCTAATAACTATGACTTATTCATGTATCTAAACAAGAGTGTTTAACTCTTTTCAAACCATTAGTTCCCTTTGAGAATCTGATAGAAACTCTCTATCTACTCCTTCCAATGCACCAGAAAATAATGGATCCTAAGAAGTCTCTTAACCTTGGAAATGGTGCCATGATCTAACCCTTTCATTCATCCAGCTGTCTGACATTCATTCATTAACCATATGCGTTGACTGCCTTACTGTGTGTAGTATGATGCAGACAGAACTAGCATTTGCGGCTCTTGAAGTATACTCAGCCCGCTCTTGAAATATAGACAGCAGATAATCAGACACAGATCATAGAATTCTAGAAGTAGGACTATGAGGACCTACCATTTTGCCCTCTTTCTTTTACTGATTAAGAAACTGACCCAGTGAGACAAGACAATTTATCCTTGGCCACCTATTGCATATTAATGGTAGGTATAGCACTAATATTCATTTTTTAATATTGCTTAATTATTCTTACCATATTGCCATATCTAAGAAAAAATAGTACTTTAGAAATTATTCTACGTTTACTGTTTCTTTGAAGTCTTAATATGTTTCTCCCTTCTCCTAATATTCTAAATTTTGTTTTAAAAATCTGTTTTCTTCTGTTATGGATAATAAGAATGCAAATATTTTATTCTGGTTGCTGTGTGATTTGGTAACGACTTGCCTTTTGACATCTTAATTTCTCATCTGAAAAATTGCAATAAAACATCTGTTTGGATCAACCACACATAAGTAACAATGAAGGCCAAACAAACTAATATGTAGAAAGGTCTTCATAAATAATAGAAATGAAATTGATTCCATTTATAAGAGTTCATAGCCTCACTCAGTCTTTATCTTCCCAGGGTAAAAAGTCTTAATTTAAAAATCTTCCTTCTACATTTAATGGAAATCGAAATTGTTTTAATTATTATTTAAAGTAATAGAAGACTTGGTGCAAATGCGTTTGTCTCTGCAGAAAATATTAATCTCACTTGCTGCAGTGTGAGGTTATTTTTTTCCACTTTTCCAAGATAGATATAAATTGTAGGGTGCATATCTTCCCAGTTAAACTAACGTCAGGAGTTAATTATGAAACTTTCAGGAAACCAAATACTTAAGTGTTGGGTTATGTCACCCAATTATAAATTTTCCTAGCTCCCTATTGCCTCACAAATCCAGATACTTTTTTTTTTTTAACATCAAAGCCCTGCGTTAGCTGGCCCCATATCACCTGGACAACTTTATCAACAATTTAGCCTTGATGCAAGTCCTTACCACCTGAATGAGTCTTGTCACTGGCACTCACAGGCCCCCCTCTATTTATTCTCTTCCTAAGCTTTTCTTAGGATACTTCCTCCTAGTTGGGATAGGTGAGCCATGTCATACTCCAGTGTCCAACTTATGTTTTTTTAATCAAATGTTGTTATGCTAAGGACTATTTAGACAAATCATCAATCATTAATTAGTCAGCCACAATGAACTTATACTTGATTATTTCCATACATAAAGGTTGGTTTTGTATTTTCTTATGATTGTCTAGTTGTTTCCTTGTCTCACTCCCACAGTTAGTGTGTGAACATACCATGGGTAGGAATTGTGTCTTGTACTTTTGTAGTGGTCCCTATGGTATGTGGAACAATGCTAGGATCATCGTAGGCCTTCATAACTGTTGGTGGTGTGATGAATGGAATGACTGACATTTTCAGTATCCTTCCTGATGATTTTCTTTTCTTCTGTTGACACCACAGACTGGAGGTCATCCTGTAATGCCCATCATTTTGATCTTTTTTTCCCCATAAGGGATTGCTTTGTCCTTAGGCATATTCATGTACTAGTCTATCCACACAGCCCTTTGTTATCTTCTGCAAATCTACTGTCTGATTATGTCCAAAGAATGAAATTTCCTGATTTCTGGAGGAAAGAAAAGAGACATTGTCTGTTTTCATATGATAATTAGGAAACGCCTAAAAAATATTAAGTAGAAGCAAAATTTCTAGCATAGCAGTTTAAGATATTTCTATAATTGTAAGAGACTGGAATATATATATAAACCTAGAAATTCTGCTTATAATAGTTACATTTATTTTTAAACCTATTACTTGTTTCACAAGGAAATTCTGAATGTTGTACACATATATAGTAAAGGTTCAAGAAGTTTGTTGGGTATGATTTAATTTTTTTAAAATATATTTTATTGATTTTTTACAGAGAGGAAGGGAGAGAGATAGAGAGTTAGAAACATCGATGATGAGAGAAACATCAATCAGCTGCCTCCTGCACATCTCCCACTGGGGATGTGACCACAACCTAGGTACATGTCCTTGACCGGAATCGAACCTGGGACCTTTTAGTCCGCAGGCCAACGCTCTATCCACTGAGCCAAACCGGTTTTAGCTGTTGGGTATGATTTAATATAGATATAGACTCTAGGCTATTGAGGGATGGTTTTGAAAGTACATTATAGCAATACCTAAGCATTTTTTAAATTTTCATTTTATTGTATGTCATGATATGTATACAAAAATTTACCAGAGTATTTATAATTTGTGAATGGAAGATATCAATTAATATTAATAGTAAAAATATCAATAAGATCAAGACTTAAATGCAGTTTGACAATAAGACTACCTAAAATTAAAGTTCCATAATACAAATATTTGCTTGTTTTTGAATAGCATGAATTACTAAATGTTATGTATTCATATAATTATGTAAAAATTTATTTATAGGTTTTAAATATGCTTTGTTTGTAAATTGAAAACATATTTTAAGAAAATTAACAACAATTTAACTGAAAACTTATTCTGAATATGAAATGTAAAGATAGCAATAAAGACTTTTTTCTTGACTATGTTCTATTCCATAGCAAGGAGCATCATATTGCTAATTTTTATAGTTTCTGCATTTACTTTCCCCATCCCCAGGATCTAGTATAGCAACTAACATTTGGTAGACAGCTCAGTAATTCTTTGATAAATGATGGAATAAGACAACTTTCTGCTTTAAAATAAAATAATGTTTTTTTCTTTTAGTCCACTTATAAGTAAAATTGAAATGGTCTCTCATTGGTATAGTGTAAAGCTATTTTCTCATGTTGATTAATTAATACCTTTTAAATTTAATTATAGTTTAATACTTCCCCAAATAGAGATTCCACACTTATCTGTTTAAGACCAATAGCTAGTGTAATTGCAATAGTAACACAAAAACTGCATGGACAGAGACCCAAATCAATAAAGGCAATACATACAGTATTTGAGTATTCAGCAGTGAGAAGCTCTCAGTATATAGCTGATTTTTCAGTCATTTTTTTTACTTTTGATCTTAGATATGTCTTGCTGAATTAACTCACATGCATATTATATGTATCTATTTTGAATCTTTTATAGTTATTAATAAATAGATTTTAACTCATAGTATTTATAAAAATTACATATTTTCAGCTTTATAATTAAAGTTTTAATTTTGCCTTAATTTGTTCTTCCTAGTTTATATATTTTGTGTAATGTGACTTCAGGCTATATATTTTTCAAGACCAGGCCAAACATACTGTTAAAATATGTAATGAAATTATGGTATAGGTTTAACATTAATTATTAAACATGAATAGAAAAGTCAGAGCTTTAAGATGCAATTATTTTTTAATGGTTTACCCTCAAGAAAATAGATATTCAGAAATATTTTACATACTGTTTTAAATTCATGTAAGACATTGAGATTATTATAATTTCAGGGGTCGGACTGGAAAAATTAGAGTGCAGAGTCTGAAGATTGGACTGATGTCCCTCTCTAAAGGTCTCTTAGAAGAAAAATACAGATGTACGTAAGACCATTTTTATACTAATAGTGTTTTTAGTAATGGGAATGATCATTTTATAGGAGAAATAACTTTATATGATTGGCTAGTAATAAGTTTCCATTTTTTAACCCTTACTCTACCTGTCCAGGCTACACTGAGGGTGTTAATACATAGTGGACTTGTGTGTAATGAAACACTGATAATAGGATCAAGAGGTGAGGTGCCTTGGTGGAGTGAGCACCAGCTACAAGTTGTATCTCATTTAATTCTGAGAATAATCATCCCATAATGATGTAGGCATTGTGATTTCCATTTTTCAGATGAAAAAATTAATGCTGAGATAGGTTACAAATCTAGTCAAAGGCTGCAGTGACAATAATTGCGGGGCTAGAATTAGATCACAGAGTCTTCTGACTCTAAAACCCAAGCGTTTTCTATTTCTGTATATTTCCAATACTTAAAAATAAATATATTTATCAAGACAGACTAAAACTGTTATAGACATAGTTAGACAAATAATTAAATGAAGGGCATCTTGGCGTTTGGAAAATAACAGGCCCACAGGCCAGAGAGACCTGCCTTCAAACTCAGCTCTGCCACTTAGTAGCTGAGTGACGGGGCAGGTGTTTTTACCCTGGTGGCACCTCCCTCTCTCTTCAGGCCTTCCTGAGAGTATAGTATCCCTTCATTAGATTCAAACAACACCCTGGCCTTCCTGCTTATAGCTGGTGGCCCATTTGCCTCATCAAAAACACGTTTACAAAGATCCTTTTCAGCGGCCTTTACATCTCTTCTGTGCTAATTTATTGGATCTTGGGTTTTAGATTGTGACTTTTCTCTGACCCATTCCCACATTCTTACACTCCTTTTTATTTCTGACTATGACATCAAAAATGTGAACATTTATGAAAATTTAGAAATATGTCAACATTTCTAATGCTAATATTAACCTTTTATGTTTTGTGTGTAGTTTTACCTTAATGGTGGCATAGCAATATAGCTACAAGTCTCAAAAGAGGAAAGTTGGACATGATTGATCTTGTTGAACACGTGTACTCCTCTGTACAGACTATTATGCATGTGCATCAACTCTATTTAACTAAAAGGCCTCTTCCCAGGAACAAGTTTAAAATGATCTTCATAGTAAGAATCCTGGACAAATATTTCCTGGCCATGATCATCTTATTTTTGACAAATGAAGAGAAACAAGTAGAACTCTAATAAAATTTAAGTGAACAAATGATAATAAAAATTATATTTATCTTAATTAAATTTGCTTTCCCTATGTATACTTATAATTAAAGTCATATGTCATGATAATTACTATGTAAATATCACTGAGCCCGGTTTAGTTGTTTGAAAGTGCACTGTTGACAGTGTTAGATCTGGCATTATTCTCCTTTAAAATAAAGGGAATATACATTTTGATCTGATATTCATTTATCAGTGTGGTTTTTTATGGTTTGTGGGATCCAATAAATATTTCCTCCCCTTTCTTCTGTTCTTGGAAACTTCACATGAAAAACATTTAGAGTTTTCGTGATTATGAATTTTCAGAACTTGGAAATTTCTTTTCAAAAAGTATTACTTTCTATAACAAAGTGGGTGGTTTTTACGTGAAATTTCTCCCCACTCCTAAAGTAACTTATTTAAGCATATTAGCTTTATTTCTTGGAACAAGCTAATAATTTTAAATCTTCAAAATGTTTCAAGTGGTGAGTAGAAGATAAGCAAACACTGGAAAGGAGAGAAGAGTTTTAATTTTATTGAATCAGGAAAGCTATGAAATAAATTAGGGTTTTCTTAATGAATTTAAAAGCCTAAAGAACTATGAAAGCAAGAATGAGTTTTGTTACTATGTCTTTAAAATTTGAATAAATGTATTTTAGTACATGAAGTAAAACAAAAATAATTTTTATAGCTAGTAAGGAATGAGACTGATTGGGCCTAAAAAAAAACCCCCAAAAACAACTACACATTTAAAAATAAAAGATGCTTCCTTGCACTTCTTAAAGTTTTTTTATATAAAATAGATTTGATTATAGTAATCTTTAAAAGAAGTAAATATATACATATGTCTATAATAGAATATTAAATTTAGGAGTGAACACAAAACGTTAGTAAACAAATTGTTAAAATGTAAAAATTTGCTCTTACGGCACATTTATTCCTTTGACAAGTCCTGAGAAGCTTCGTCTTGGCTCACTGTCTTTCTCAATAGGAGGGGAAATCCTTACTGAAACCACTGAATGAAACCCACACGTATTTATTGTACCATTTGTAAAGGAAGTTTGTAGTTACTGGTCTATTTATATGTGTTGACATACAAGAGGAGGTTGTTTTCAGAAGCATGTGGTTAACCAGGCCCCGATTACAGACACACAGAATATCAAGGTTGTCAGAATTCAGGAGACGACTAATTGATTCATGTCCCCATGATTTTTTTTTTTAATCTTCATTGTTCAATCCCCATCACCAAAGACATAAGAGAACACTTCGGGCAGTTGGAAGTTGACCTCTTGCTTCTCCTCCTTGCAGATCTCTTTAAGGAAGTGGCAGGACCGACAGAAATGTGTGACCAGCGGCAGCTGGGCCTTTTACTTCACGATGCCATCCAGATCCCCCGGCAGCTGGGAGAAGTAGCGGCTTTTGGAGGCAGCAATATTGAACCCAGTGTCCGCAGCTGCTTCCAACAGGTAAACACATGGGATTGCTGGTGTACAGGGTGTACTGAGGAAGGGTTTTGAGAATGTTCCAAGAAATGGGACAGGGAACTTGGGCTGGAGCCAAATGGTGGAGGACGTTGCGTGCCATCTTAGTAAGTTGTATTTTGTTTCTTAAGGCATATTTGATTCAAGGAATAGCTACCATCTCAAGAATAGCTGCTTCTCAATGTATAAAATCCAAACTCTCTAACACGTGCTGTCAGATTGCTGTGATGGGGCCCTGCCTTTGCCCTGGCCTCATCTTGTGTCACTTGTCCCCTTGCTCCCTGCTTTCTACCCACACTACTTCAGTCCCTATACTCTTGCCTTAGTGCATTTGGTCATGTGCACTCTATTCAGAATGTTTCTCCATATCTTCTGCCCACAAACTCTTTTCTCATCACCAATCTTTATTTATTCTTTAGATCTTTCCTTAAATCTAAAACCCTCTGAAAACCCTTCCCTGACCTCTTTAGAAGAGATTTATGTGTCTTACTGTATTCACCTGTATCACCTCTGTCTTCTTAGGGTGCTCATTACAATTATAATTACATATTAAATTGTACATTTGTCTATTCAGTTTTGTTCCTTCATAAAAATAAGCTTCATGAATAAGGAAAATTTTTACCTTTTTATTATTGTATCCCTGTGCACAGTGTCTTGAATATTACAGCTACTTAATAAGTATTTCAGCCCTGAGTTCCTTGGAGGCAAGATTTTAAAACATATATAAAATAAAAATGTTATTAAAATAAGGTCTTTTCTTTGAGAACTTATGTGCAAAAGGAGGATGATACACAAAGTTTTATACTGGTCTAAGTTGTTGATGTTAAACTGGAAAATGCATGTTAGTTTCTTTTTAATGCTTACCATATATAAAGCATTTTAGAACTGTTACTAGTGATACCATATATTTGCTTAAAGTACAGCCTACAGATATTTTCTCAAAGCATACTCAGCGATTTATCATTGAAGAGAAAAAAATGCTCACACCATCTTTTTAAGGTGAATTGATGTTATGGGTTATTACGTTTTATAATAGCCATTTTTCTTGTTTTAGAGAGAACAAAAAAATACCAATTGAAAATTCTAAATGTAATTTCCTATGTCCTGGTTCATAGAATGACTTAGACAACAACAGAAGAAAGATGTTGGTACAAATTTAATTTCGCACATATGAAAATAAATTAAGATGTTAAGAGTGTTAAGATTTGCAAGGGGACTAAGATGTTTCATACATTTTGTTATAAATTTTGAAATCTTGCCAAGAACATTCGTAGTACTGTGCTCCCAGTGTGATGTTTAACAGGACTGGAGCAGGACACAAAAATAACCATTTTTATGTACCATTTATAATGGCCTTCACCTTTGGAAAGTAATCAGTGAGTTTTTGCTTTCACACATTTTTACTGTCTTAGATAAGTGAATTTTATGGGATTAAAGCATATATGAAAAGAATACCTAGAATAGTGCAGGGGTTTTTTTGTTTTTTGTTTTTTAATCTGAGTATATGAAAGTACTGGGGTTTTTTTCTTCTTCCTATATGACAATACTCTCTCTCTCTCTCTCTGTCTTTCTCTCTCTCTCTCTCTCTCTCTCCCTCTTGCTGCTGTTATTAATCTTCACCCAAGGTTATTTTTCCATTGGCTTTTAGAGAGAGTGGAAGGGAGAGGGAGAAACACAGAGAGAGAAACATCAATGTGAAAGAGAAACATCAATTGGTTGCCTCCCCTCATGCATCCCAACCAGAGCCAGGAATCAAACCTGCAACCAAGGTACGTGCCCTTGACTGGAATCAAACCCAGGATCCTTCAGTCCATGGGTGGATGCTCTATCCACTGAGCCAAACTGACTAGGGCTGCTTTTTATCTTTTTAAGTTCTAGAATTTTCTGTCCTTAAATATTTTATGAAGAACCTTAAATATTTTATGGTTTAACTGACGTGGAAAAAAATACATAATGTTTAATTGTGCACAGATTTTTCAGAAGATTATGAGGCAGCAACACTTGCTGCAATTTAAATAAATAAATTTTCTTCACATTTAATTTATTTGCTTCTTCACCAGAATAACAACAAGCCAGAGATAAGTGTGAAAGAGTTTATAGATTGGATGCGTCTAGAACCACAGTCCATGGTTTGGCTGCCAGTTTTACATCGAGTGGCAGCAGCTGAAACTGCAAAACATCAGGCCAAATGCAACATCTGTAAAGAATGTCCAATTGTTGGATTCAGGTAAGATCTACCACAGACGGTGGCAGGAGACGATTTTCTGTTCTGTAGATGTCAGCTCAGTGTATGTCTATCATCCCTTCCATTCATTCCTATTGGGGGGTTTGCCTTCTAAATAAATGAGATGCTCAGCGTAGTCTGGCTAAAATGCCATTTCCTATAGCCAGTACATGAAGCTTGTTGTTATTATTTTAATGTTATTTTGCAATATAATGAACAACATAAACTGATGAACAAAAATAGCTCCAGAGGCAGAGAAGCATTGAACAGACTGTCAAACCTCAGAGGGAAGGCAGGGGAAGGTGGGAGAGGGGGTAGAGATCAACCAAAGTACCTGTATGCATGCATATAAGCCTAACCAATGGACACAGACACAAGGGGGGTGAGGACATGTGCTAAGGGGGAGGGGAGCGGTAATAGAGAGAAAAGGAGACATATATAATACCTTAATCAATAAA